GTAATTTTAAATTGATTATCATAAATAAATGTATTATTAAAAAATAATTAACCTAAATATCAGACCGGAATATATAAAAGTGTACCTTGAATTAGCAACATCCTAAAACAAAGTGAAATCGGAATGACGTGTTCATTGATTATTTTTAATAGTATTAATAAATAACGCAACTAAAAGTATTGGTTCTATGTGTTAATATATATGGTTCTCATCCGCAACTGAGTAACACCACATACAAACTTTTAAATTTATAATATTTAAAGGATATTTCACAATAATAGGCAAAATATTGTATACATAGTACATAAACATAGTAAATAAACATATTGTAACATATTGTAGGCATACATAGGTTGTCTGTTTCACCTGGAGGTAGAAAATTAGAAATATCCTAAATAGAGACCACAGGTATACTGTGCAACCTCTATATCACCGTTTTAGCATGAAACGCTAAAAAGGCTTCGTTTCTTTATCGAAAAAGTTACAGAACTCTTGTATCTATCTACATTTTATCTGCAATAGTACGTAGAATCACTATACGTGAGTTATCTACATACAATAAGATGTCTAGTTTGGTCACATAGCATTGAAGGTATGTAACTTAAGAGCTACTATATAGTACCTATACACAAGTCACGTACAGAAGTTAGAACAGTCATACTTTAATATAAACATAGAGGATATTACATTATCAAATGTATTGGGATTTATCCAATACATTTGATAATACCAAAGTAGACTTTGTAAAAAATCAACTGTGTGGATAACTCTGTATATATGTCAGCTGCCAAGCAGTTTAATTTGTAAGCTGTGTTTCTGTTGAATGGTGAGATAAGGAAGTGGTATAAAAGGATAAGAGGCATGACATCTCAATCCGTAGTACAAATAGTAACGCACGAGTGGTATCGGGGGCGTTAAATGATAACGTGATGTAGGGCTATAGCGTAGGGCGAAGCATAGGGCTGTTCATGTATATAGACAACCGTTACCACTCGTTATCAGAAGGCCATCAACTTATTTGCCATTCCAATTACATAAAGCTTACTAACCAAGCTGTTTGGAGACTGAAATATATGTGACTATCTAAGTACCAAGTAAGTAATAACTAATAATATTCGATAGGGGCGAAAGGGGATTGATAGTAATGTGGCTAGCAATGTACCATGTCTGGTTGACCTTCACGCGGTTTACCCTGGAAACCAACGAGATAAATTCTTGGTGAATTTGTCACGATGGGCTAATTGACCTGAACCTCATGCTCATCTTAACATCCTCCACTGGTGTCCTGCCAGCGTAAACCGTTAGCGCAGGCGGGTGCACCATTCCATTATCATACAAAAAAATACTCGATAATAAGGAAGTACCTATAAAGTAATAGTAACTTTTACATGTAGAATCTTAACTGTCATAATAGAATAAGTTAATAACTCTAAAATGTAGATGTCTAAACAAAGACATATGGTATTTGAAATACGAGATGATCCATCAACAACAAAAAGCAAAAGTCAGATCTAATAGCTACTTTATACCGGTTTGTTTTTTATAAGAAGTGTTGTAAAAAAAACATCAAACAGGTATTGCTATGTTGCTGATAAAAATAACCAGGTGGATGTACACGTGTCAATAAATAAGGTGTTTACGTTCAATACAATTACAAAAACTTATGAACGAACCACCTTCAATATATTTTTAAGCCTAATTGTAGGTGCGGTCTGGTCGGGTTCTTCCGCTCTTACGTACCTGCTGGGTCCGGGCCCCGAGCTAATGCTCCTTACCCGGGCGTACTGCTGGGGTGGGATGAAATTCGAATTCGCCATCGAATACATACCATACCGTCATAAAAGTCACAACGATTGTCCAGAGTGTACGACTGAACAAAAAGTATGCCAATGCAGAGGAAAAGTCTCCCTTAAGATGACGCGACGCATCGCAAATAACATTATTGATCTCAATTTTTCTCAGCGATTAGAAACCTTTCGGGATTGATGTTTACGTATTTCATTTTTCATATCTTTGACATCATTTGATACGTATTACTTGATTGATTAACTTTTGTAGCAGAGAAAAAATCGCAAAAATAGGTATTAGATTTAATTCTGTGATCAATTGAAGTAGATTTTGCAATTAACTACATGCCGAAGTTTTCTCTAGGGACAATAGCACGGGGTTTTTCAAGAAAGGTGTATTAAAAAAATTTAATACGCACGTGGCACAATTATAAGTCTATATTTAGGTATTTTATTATCAGATCCTTATGCTTGTTTAACACTATTGTGGTATAAAAATACAATAAAATTTCAGATAATAAAAGGAAAAGATAAAGGTCAAAACCTTCCACTAGTTGGATATAAAATGGTGCCGTTTATAAACTGTGCATCGAGATCAGACAACAAACCACAATGCCTTACAAACGACAATTCCATGAACACGTACGACCTAGACCTTCGAAATGTTCCAATAATTCTCGTCCCGAATACAGACACTGTGGCCAGACACGGTCATGATGACTTATAAGGACTGATATGACACACGGTGAATATATCAATAATTAATAGGTATCAACTTTCGAACCGAACCGAACGGAACTGGGTTCATATGCGGAAGTAGTAAAGGGCAACATTGAAAGTAATGAAATAGCAAATCTAATACGTATTTTTGTGTTTACTGATGATATAGTATATATATCTAATCATTCCCAGGTATCTCGTGAATATAGGCAATTGCATCTTATTGTACATTAAGTTCTAATTTAGATAATGCAAATGATGAATAAGCACACGATTTAACATCATTATAAGGCGTGAAAACATTAGACAATATTAAACCATAATTGTTATATTTATAATATTAGTAAGACACTATGTATTTTAAGAAGAAAGAGAAAAGAAGCATGCTAACATTGAATTATATGAAACCAAGCTTTTAAAACCTGATTTAAGATAGGTATAATCGGTTGGTGTTGAAATTAATGTTAATGCCGTCTCTACAGTTTCTATTGCAGTTGTAAAATCATGAATGTGGCTCGCTTAAATTTCACTACGATATCAAGGCGTGGCAACTATGATTTATTCATAAGGCGGTTAGTTTTGTGATTGCAATGATGTTTGTAGAGTGAAATCAATCATAATCATGCCGTCGTAACATTGACCTCGTAGCGCCGTCACTGTAAGTGTAAGTATATATTTTTAAACATCAATAAGTAATTAGGATGTTTAATGGTAACCAACCGTACTGCATTCCGGTTATGCATAAAGTACTACTTACTCCAAATATTTTTTTCCTTAAGACGAAGGTAACGGAAATAATTTCAGCTTGAATATATTTAGGAGAGGTAAAGGAGGTAAATAAAAGCAGGATCTCTATTTCTTATGTGCTCAAACCACAAGCACCGTAATTAATCGAGTCCAAATATATCTAAATGAAATTCAATCCTACTTACAACCAACATTTAATTATAATGTAATGAACATCAATATCTTAGTATTGAATAAGAAACTATAAAATAATCCTTGAACATATTCGATTTTTGGTTCAATCCAGGAAGCTAAAATCAAATCCTAAAAAATATGACAGAAACATAAAAAATATAAAAGATAGAAGAAGTGTAAAAGCAGTCGTATAAAAGCCTTCAAAAAAATTAAATGTAAAAAAAGTAAAGTAAGTAAAATTTAAGGTTGATAAGTGTATCTATGCAAATGCAATCAATTCAATAAATAGGTTTAGTGACTTAACAAATAATTATATATAGAAGTCATCGATATTATCTTGAAGTCTCAAAATAATTTCTTATGTGTGCAAATCATATTATTTGTCTACAACTAACAGTATCTAACCAACCAATATTTCCGGAAAAAAGTAAATGAGTTTAAAAGTGTTATGCGTTTATGATTGCTCACACAAAGCTACTAACTTTATGATTATAGTATCGTGCCTTTGCCAGCGGTAAGACACCTGTTAGACCGAGGTACCGTACAGATGATCCGCTGACCATCAGATTCTCACAATTTCAATTCATGCGCCGATGGAAATAGAAACGCTAATACCATCAACTACATGATGGTAAACATTCAACGCTCCAATAGCTCAAAATAATCATACTACATTCATTTAATGAGGTTAAGAACTGTGATTACCGCTTTGTGATAGAAAATGCGCTATTAGTTAGCATGGTATTTAGCACGATATAAATCTAAGCTGTATCTTCAGAAGTCTATCGGCGCGTTAATTTAACAACGATTGATTAATAATTAGCGGTTATAGTAATTATAAATTACTAGCAGACTGCCCCAGCTCGGATAGATGCAATTTATTGTTGGGATCTCTAATATTTTTTTATATAATATCACGTGTATAATATTGGTGAAATATTTTTATTCCTTTTAGATGAGTTCAGCACCTATATATTTTTTATTTCCTGTTGCTTGTTGCTACTCTTAACGGGCATTTGTTTCTTTCAACACTGTCTTATTAGTCAGTAAGTTGAGTTCATATTTTATTTTCTTGTTTGTTAAAATCTATAAAATACCTATTAAAATTAACTAAGTATAAAATTAAGTAATTAAATATACTTACATATTCCTGGCCCAATCTTAATCCATACTTGACATTAGCTAAATAATCAACGCAGTGCATATTATCTAAATCCTTTTTGACATACAACCTAATTTATTAGTCCTTAGGAAAAAGAGGATTATTCGCAATGGAGATTATTAAATAAGAGATTGCTTTAAGCGATATGGCCACCCTTTCTTTAGCATATTTATATGATGTTCCTTTTCTATATGTTGTTTTTATACACAATAAAGAGTAATATTATTATTATTATCCTTATTGCTAGTAATCTCAGAATCGAAAACCGTTGTGGTGAATTCTTTATGGCGAGTTAACGGACTCTCATGCTCATCAACTTCCATTGGTTTCCGATACTACCGGCGAGAGCACCATTCAATCATCATCCTCATCGATCATAAAATAAATATTAGATTAGTGCATCATCTTACCTGTGGGTGGTCGTTCCTTGGGATAACATATACGGAACAAGCCTCGCGTCCTTGTGTAGAAGAAATATTTGTTGTTCAGGCTGTCTAGTATCTGCGAGTTAGCAGCCGAATTCTCTGCAGCATATGTCTGAAACAATGAATTACACAATATAAGTAATTTGTCCATAATATTAGGACTTACAGAGTATAATATTAATATATCTTTGCAAGTTAATTATATAACAATTAGGACTGATACATCGTCTTCAGATTGATTATAATCCACTTTTACCAGGTAGACCATCTGGTCCAATCTGTACAACCTATCATAGACTAAAACTATATAAACTTGTAAACAGAAACAACTAACAGTAACATCTTTACGTATGTTAACCAGTACACTTACAATGTAACTTGTAAACATAATTGCACGAAGTTTACCTACTTACAATGTAACTTAAATAACAATGTCCAACATCCAGTAAAATTGTATTGTCCAGTACTACTAACAGACACAATTTCGTGATTTTTTCATATTCATTTGTTATCATTATTTTTATCTATTGTCATATATTACCAATATTAGTATTATATAAATGTAGAATTATTATCATCTCTGATTGCCGTACCAATGTCAAGTCAAACTATGACTGTTAAACTTACGTTGAAAAGTTATTATTATTCTTAAAAAATATTGTATTCAATTTTAATGATAGCCGTGAAAGCTCGAGTATTTTATGTAATTCTATATTTTATATAATAATTAGAAGTCTATCTCATTGAAACGTTTTGTACAGATTACGTTATAATGTTCAAAGAAATTGTGCGAAATCTTGATTACATATTACGTTTCATTTTATGCATAATAATATGAGATAGAAAGAAAGAATCCCACAATACAATGGGTCTCATAATACCGAGGTTCGACTCGGCAGATATCAAAGGGATAATTATAGGGACCGGTCGACCTCACTCAAGCCCACATTCCTTTGCCTGTTTTCTCTACAGCGGAATTGATTTGGCTTGCTTTTTGGGGATAAGAATAAGTAAATTAATGTACATAATTAAATACATACATAAAAACTAAATTGTAAAACATCAATATTTTATATTTTATTTGACAATACCAATACGAGAGTAACATTTCAATTTGAAAGAGAATCATGTAAATCTTTTTGAAATTAGCGATATAACTGAAAAGTATTAGCAAGTTGTTAATTTTATAATTTTGAAGACGGTTGAATAGTTTAAGAACCTTTGGATCACTATTCACAAAATCAAATCTGCCAGCAAAATTGGTCATCCACATGCACTGCACATACACTGCAGTCGGCGGGCTGTAGCAACCCTGCGGTTCAATTTTATTATTGTGGTATCTGAGACTTTATGTCGATATAGTAGGAAGGTTCAAGTTTATTATTTATGTGTAAATTATATTTTAATAACATTACCAATTTTTCTATCAATATAATGTGATTCTAGTATCATTAGAAGCACTTTGTGGTATACATGACAAAGCATTTTCACTATTTCGTAATTACCTAAGCTATAGAGAAATTTTAATTACACACTGCATTAACAAATGATATGATAGATGAACATTCGTTTGGAATTTTTCTTGGAATTTGCAAGAATTATTTTATCTTTTTTCATATTTTAGGGTTAACAACTAAGCATGTATTCTTAACATTTTATATAATGTGTATTTTGATATGAATTAAAGTATTATTACTCAAGATTCGGTAGTATCAATAAGTCTGTCCTAGAGGGTTACCTTACGCTATAGTATCGTAAATAGTCTGTTTGTATGTTTATGTCGTTGTGTATTGCAGTTTCACGTTAAAGGGAAGGAAGGAAAATGTTTAATATAAAAAATACCCTGCAAATAGGAATATTTATTAATTTATAAAATTTTCAAAAAACTACCTAGATCTTTATTTATTTTTTATATAATGAAAATTTTTTATATAATAGTTGGAACTGTTTAAATGATCTATTGTCATTATTGTCGTTTGATACGTGATACGAACTCGCAGGTTCTACTAATTGCAAATATATCAAATCAAATATTTTGGAAATTAAAATACATCTCCATCTCCATCTCTCACGTTATTAGCTGATAATGTATATTATTTCCATAGATTTAATATAGAATCCGTTAAGTTATTATTGAGTTTATCCATTACCAGCAAAAAATTAAATCTTTCCACTGTTTAACAATATTAGTTTAGACAAAAATATATAGATCTTCGGCACCTCATTTTGTTATCCAGTCAAACGAGTTTCCACTGCGGCCTGGCCGGTTTTAGTGTAACTGTTTCTAATATACCTAGATATATATAAAATATAACTAGATAGGTATTTTAATAATGGTGAATGAATAATATATAGACTATATACAATAAAGTACTGCTGCTAACATGTAAAATTTTATTATATTTTTATTGTTTTCATTGTTATCTACTGTTCAGATTTACGAACTATTTGTCAATACTAACATTATAAAGTGGGAATATTTTATTTAATGCAGTTTAATGTTTTTTTGTAATAAATACCTACTCAAAAACTACTTAACTGACTGTAAAAAAACAATTGAATTACTCAGAGCTACATCAACAGCGAGCTAGTAGAGGCCCTATTCCAGGCAGGCACACTGAATAAAATGATTAATTGAATTTGTTGAGTTAGGTACTCCAGAAATAACAAATCTTTAGTAGAAAACAACAAAATTTTAGTTAAATTCACAAAATTGAGTTAAATAAACTACCAATTCTTTTTACACTACAATGATGACAAACAAGCACACGGCCCATGTGATAGTAAACGATTACCATAAACTATCTACTAATATTATAAACGCGGAAGTTTGTGAGTGTGGACGGATGGACGGATGGATGGACGTTTGTTACCCTTTCATGCAAAATTACCGAATGGATTTTAATTAGATTTTACAATAATATAGCTTATGCATTATAATACACATAGGCTATAAAATTCATGGGAGTGTATCCGCGGGCACAGCTATTTTACTATAAAGTAGAACTAGTTTGTCCGTCACTATTTTTTAATAAACACTGATCAATATTTTAGTGTATAGATATTAGTGGAATTTGGTAGTCACTAGATATATTAAACTTTATTCAGTGTACGCAGCACCGCGTGTAGTCTAAGAAAATATCACAAATTGTCTGTGGAACATCGATAGTGTAAGACAGACACAGTTCTTTCTTCTTAATAAAATAACGCAAGAGTCTGTTGCGTGTCAGTCCGTGTGTAATTACTAAGCACAGTATCTAATAGCTTTTATGCTATTAGATACTGTACTTATTAGTTAAGTTAGATGCAGACCGACACGCAACCGTTGTTGAAGACTTCTATAGAAAAGTTTGCAAGTCCAAGTTTTCTAAATAACAAATTACTTCGATATGTATATTATGAATAACGTACAAAATTAAATAATAAATTTGTGCCAGTAGCGGAAACATAACAACAACTATTATTAAAAAACAGAATAATTTTATCATATGTGTATACCTAAGAGGGCTCCGCCTCCCAATGAAAGTAAGCAAAAGACATTTAAAAAACAGTTTTCAAAATAATATAATATTTATAAAAAGAATGGTGAACAAGCTGCCAGTAACAGAATGTGTTAAATATATGAAACATGTTCAATTCTAATTATTAAATGCTTAATTTAAATAAAAAAGAAGTCGAAGGCCTCAATGATGATTAGTTAGTTGCCTGTTGCCTCTGGTAGCCCTCATACTTTCTGATATTCTACAATATCAGAAAATATTTTAGCAGAATGGCAATGGATTTCCTAAATAATGCGTAAAATTGTCGGTTGTTATTGTTTTAATATATATATTTTTTGTAATTATTAATATTTCATATGTTTTATATTTTTTCCTAAGTGAGCATATTGGGAAGCTGTAAGGTTCGCTTAGTTTGATGTCAATAAATAAATATCGGAAACAAAACTAATTTTCAATATAACTGTATAATACTGTAACACCTCCATTATCTTAACGGTTGTACTAATTTAGAACTTAAAGTTCCATTCGCTCTCGCCCTTATGGTGGTAAACTGCTAGCAATGGGGTCAAGGGTGAATTCGGCACGATGAACTAATAGACCTGATTTCATCTCCATTCTATCCTTCATTGGGTATCAATGAAGGATAGAATGGAGATGAAATCAGGTCCCAATCAATCCATCCCATCAAACCCTGCTAGCGTATACCGTTAATGCAGGCGGATGCATCAGACAGTATCATAAAAAAACCAGAACATTGACTTTACATTTGTACCTACTACGTATAATCAAAGAATCAAAACTATGCACACAATCCGTAGAGGTTAGATATCTCTAGTTGAACAAATACAAAGATAGCCTTATAGCCTTTTGTGTGTCAAACAATAGGCATAGGAAACTCATTGTTTATTATACGAGAACAACTCTTGCAACCACAATGCAACTAAAATTCACTGTCATCCAAATTCTTGGAATGCTACCGAATCACCGTATAAAGAAAGATACCTACGGTGAATTCCAGTTTGAACACCTAATACGTCAAACACATTAAGTTGACCAACTAAATGATCACGCGATAACGTCATTCCGACTTATGACCACATTTGGGAACAACTGAGTAATCCTGGATATCCGTACACTTTAAAATGTGAAGTAAAACACTAACACTCATTATTTTAGAAAAAAAACCTGTTCAATGGACTTGAATAGCGACCGTGTTTCGCAGAGCGTCGTGTCAGAATTTCAGGACCAGTTTTTTAACCTGGCCGAACTATTCAGGTTAGAACACCTTTTGGAGTAGATTGTCAAATTGGGTTTTTAATCGAGGCCCAGAATTTTTAATAACTTCCTATTAAAAATTCTGGGTCATACCTACCATAACTAATTATAAACTAGATAGGTCTTTATTGTTGTAAGTAAATTTGAATCTTGCCCCCTTACTCTTAAAAACTAAAATCCTACATATCCACTTAAACTATTGAAGTGTTTTGGATTACATTCTGATCAAAAACATAGCCTGAAAGCATTTTAAAAACAAAAATACTGTTTATAAAGGCCTTTATGATTTTGTATCAGTGCCATTTAACGTATTATTATTAGAATTCTTATCATTATG